ATGTTTTGCTTTGAATATAATATATGTGAAAAATAAATTGTATGAGTACTCATGTAATCACAGTCCAGGTAAAGAAGTAGATCATCATTGTCACAAAAAATTTAAGAATGGCACAGTAAACCCCCATGTGCCTGCCACATTATCCACATTTTGCCAGTTTCTACATCCGTCTACATAGACACCTGTCTATTGAAGTGTGTTCTCTGTACAGAGAAGTACATGTATGATACATGTGTAACTGGTGAGGCTTTTTCATTTTTATTAGCATATATTAGTTGTACAGGGGGATTCATTGTGATATTTACATATGTGCTTACAATGTATCTTAATTAGATTCACCCTCTCCATCTTTCTCTCTCAAGCTCCCCTTCTTAGAAAAATTTATCAGGTTTCATTGCTCTACAACCATATTCGCCTCCACTTTCTCCGTTTACCTTTCTCCCCTCACTCTCACACTCACCCACCACCAGACAGAATCTGTTTTTACCTTCCTTCCCTCCATTTTTTAAAATGTGGCACCCTCTTGTTTTAGCATATCAGAATGTCTACCTCTCCTTACAGCCACATACCTGAGGTTTTATTTCAGATTTGTGGAGACACAGGGAAGTGGTGCCTCTCAGCAATTCCCATCTTCAGACTCTTTCCCCTACTCTTTTGTGTCTCTGGCTTTGACTCTGTTAGCCAAAGTGAAAAAAAACCCCAAGGTTCTTTGTACTTAACCTTTGTTCCATATTATTTTAAAGTATATTTTATTCTCAACTGACACATAGCAATTGTATGTATTTATGGGACACTGTGATATTCCAAAACATGTATATAGTATAAAATCAGGTCAGGATAATTGCCTCAGACATCAATTACCTCTTTGTGTTAGGAGCATTCAGAATCTTCTCTACTAGCTATTTTGACATGAATCATTGTTAACCATAGTTTATCCTATTATACTACAGAACATTAGAAATTATTCCTTCTATCTGGATGCACCTCTGTACCTGCTAACCATCCTCACTCTATCCTTCTCCTTCATGTCCTTCCCAGGTTCTGAAAACCACTATTATATTCTCTACTTCTTTGATATCAACTTTTCAGCTTCCACATATAGGTGAGATCTTATCTTTCTGTGCCTGACTTATTTCACTTAACAAAATATTCTCCAGTTCTATTCATGTTATTGCAAATAATAGAACTTTGTTCTTTTATGGCTGAACAATATGCCATTGTGCATACACACCACATTTTCTTTATCAACTGATCCATCTATGAATACCTAGGTTGATTCTGTATCTTGCCTATAGTGAACAGTGCTATAATAAACATGTGAATGCATACATCTCTTCAACATGCTGATTCCAGTTCCTTTGGAGACATACACCCATTAGTGGAACTGCAAAATTATAGGTAGTTCTATTGCTAGGTTTTTGTTTTTGAGGGCCTTCTATACCATTTTTCACAATGGCCACACTGACTTACAAATTTACGCTCTCATTAATGGTGCAGAAGAGTTTTCCTTTTTCATGATCCTCACCAGCATTTATTTCTTGGTTTTTTTGATCATAGCCATTCTAACTGGGTTGAGATGATATCCTATTATGGTTTTAATTTGCATTTTAGTGATGTCAAGCATTTGTTCATATACTCTCTGTCCATTTGAAAAACAGGGCCATATACTCATTTTTCTTTTGTATCAGGGTTTGAACTCAGGCTTCAACTTGCTAGGCAGGTATTCTAGCACTGGAGCCACATCGCAGCCCTTTTTGCTTTAGATATTTGTGAGTAAGGTCTCATGTTTATGATTGGGCTGGGCTCGACCATGATCTCCCTTGTCACATTTTCTGCATGGTTGGAATGACAGGCACACCCCATACGTGGGGTTAGCAACTTTATAAAAGGGTTTCAGGGAGTTGGCCTGCCTTTTTCAACCCTTTTGTCATGTGAGGATACAGCAGCAAGATAATATCTTGGAAACAGAGACTGGGCTTTCCCTAGATACTGAACCTGCTGAAGCCTCAACATGGACTTCTGCTATTGCAGAATGTGAGATATGAATCTCTGTTGTTTATAAATTGTCTAGTCTCAGGGATTTTGTTATGACTACGTGAATGGATTTTGACAGGACACATGCTGCCCCTCCACTCAGCATGTTGAAAGTCATCTTCAAGGTCCCTGGTCTTTTAGGCCTCTTGTCTCACAGTGACATGACCCTTGTTTAGTATGTTTCTATGCTTTCTACATAAGCACTCAATCTTTGCTGCCGAATTAAAGATACTTCCTTGGCCTCAAACTAAGTATTTTACCAGCTCATCCGTGCAGGAGCCAATTTGGAACCCAAGTCAAAAATTAAGACCTAACACTGGTCATGGTCAGTGCCCTTTTTCTTTTGAACAACCCATTAAGAATGACATCTAGCTGGGTGTGGTGGCTCATACCTGCAATCCCAGCTACTCAGGAAGCAGAGATCAGGAGGATCATGGTTCAAAGCCAGCCCAAGCAAATAGTTCGAGAGAACTAATCTTGGAAAAACCCATCACAAAAATAGGTCTGGTGGAGTGGCTCAAGGTGTAGGTTCTGAGTTCAAACCCCAGTACCACACACACACACACACACACACACACACACACACAAAAGACATCTAACAGCCTCCCAAGCCTCCTTTCAAAGGTTATGATTCAACAAAGTATCAAATATTTCTCAAAATATTCTAGTGACCCTAGGATTACTTTCATCTGGTTGGACTGTCCCTCACTGCTTGATAGACAGGTATGATTGCTGATAGGGAAGATTATATATATGCATATACATGTGTGTGTGTCCAGAGTACAATGTTCCATTAGTTATTCCACAAAGATAAATAGGATGTGTAAAACTAATGTATTTGCTCTTTCAGTCATTACTAATCTACTCTTTTAAGATTTTTTTATTCTGAGAAGAATCAATAGGATTGGTGGTTTGGGAGCCTAAGTGTTCACTTTCCCTGATTTCTGGATTCTAAGTGCACTTTAGCTGTAAGTAAGAAGTATCTAATACCATCATACATTGTTTTCTCTTTCTGAATATGTAGGTGGTATGTGGCCCATACATTTATCTGGGCTAGGCAAATGGGTAGGTAAATATCTCTAAGTCATGAGCAGGAAGACTTCTGCAGATCTGGTTTCTCTTTCAGTATTTCCCTGATAGTGTTCCCTTGATCAGTCCTTGGTTAAACGGTATAAATTAGGGACCATACTATGTCATGGGTTCAAGTACAAAAGGATCCAGGCCAGAAATGATAAGAGCTTTGAATGAGTAACCCATTTCTCTTGGTTCCATCCTAACTCATTGTTTTCCTTCTGATATAGCTATAATTCTCTATATGTGATAATATAGTTTGACTAATCTTTGCTTTCCTAGAACAATTTATCTAATGAATATTTACTCAAGGTCTGCTATGATGTTGGGGATGGTTCTAGGCTCTTGGGAATGTAGCAGTGAGCAAGACTGACCAAGGTCCCTGTGCTGTTCCAAGTAAACAATAAACAAATAAACAAAGATTAGGTTAATTGAAGATTGTAGTAAGTGCTAGGAGGGAGAAAATAAGGTGATTTGGTGAGTAAAGTAGAACCATTTCTACACTGGATGCTCAAGAAATCTTACCTCATCTAGGAGGTGACATTTCAGCACAGGTCTAAAAAGCAAGAGTGAGCCAACTATGGGAAGGGGAAAGGAAATGGCATTTTATATAGAGCAAACAATAAATGTGAAGATTCGGAGGCAAGAAAGAGTATCTCTTATTCAAAGAATAGGAAGGAGGCCAATATGACTAGCCAGCACAGGAAGGGGAGAATGACCAGGAAATGAGTTGAAAGCATTAGCAGATCTTGTGGTGCCCTGGAGAGCTAGTGATCAGTTTAGTTTTTACTGAATGGAATGGGAAGCCATAGAGAGATTTTATAATAAGATACAGAATTGGATTTTGCTTTAAAAATTCCCTCAGGGAATCTCTCAAGCTATATGGAGAGCAGACTATAATACACAGCAAGAAAAGATGTGGAGAAACCAGTTCTGAGTCTATTTATTTAGGACTTAATTTTATCCCTACTTTGTTGATGTCTTTAAGCATCATATCTTATTCAAATGGGCACTTCTGCTCTAGAAATCTGTTCTAGATGTCAACAGATCTGGAGAGGTCTACTTTGGTGGGACATCCATTTATTTTTCCACCTCTCCTTTATCCATCTATCATTCATCCATCTACAAAATTTCATTGAGAGGCTACTATTTGCCAAGGTAAGTGTCAAACAAGTTTTTTTTTTTTTTTTGGCCTGGAGCCATTCATAGTCTATTTGCTGAAAGAGACATGCAAATGAATAAACACGACATGTAGTAATGGCTGGATAGTGGAATGTGTAAAGTGGAATAGAATGTACAGAGTTAATAGCCAGGGTAAGAGTAGATGACATTTGACCAAGGTCTTAAAAGAGGAATAAGAATTTGCCAAACAATAATAATAACAGCTACTATTTCTTAAACTTCTACTAGGTCCTAAGCCAATGCTACAGTCTTTACATACATTATCTTACTTAGTCTTTCTCTCAACCTACTAGGTGAGGTAGGATATAATCCCAATCTCACAAACCAGGGCACATACAAGTCAGAGAGATTTTAGAAAGCTTCCTAAGTTCTTGTCTCCAGAGTGCAAAGTCTCACAGCTTTTTCATAGCGATATAGAGAATAAGCAAAAAATATCATCCAGTAGCTGCTAGTCATTGATGACCTGCCCTTTTGAGATCTTTTATTTCAGAGGAGGATTTTAGGCAAGAGAATATCATCTAAAAGAAAGTGAAATAAAGAAGGACATGGTGCATTTTGAGGAGGATGAGGTATTTGGAGGGCTGCAAGCACAGTGGGTAGAGTGTTTGAGGATGGAGGGCTTAAACTCCAGGATAGGACGGGGCCCAGTCAGGACAGAACTGCACACTGTGTGGAGGGTTTGTCTTCCTCTTGTGGGCAATTTCAGTAGTTTCTTACAACTTGGAGAGCTGAATCAGATCCCGATTGATCTCAGCCACTGACCGGCAGCCTAAAAGAATCACATAGTTACAAAGCTCATTTCTCTCATTTCATGGGCATGAGATGATGCAAGAGAAACAAGCCTTTAATCTGTGTGCTCACTCTCATAAAACGTTGCATGTACAGGGCAAATAATGTAGTTGCGATTGCATTAGAAATTATTTTCTCACCACGTCCCTGTTATTCTTTCACACCACTATGTAAAAGTGTCAGAGTAAAAACACAAAAACTCTATTTTAGCATTTTTAAAAGCCAACTTCTGTGTGCAGGAGTTGTCCTTGACCTTTACCTCAGTTCTGAAAAGGCATTAGGTCACATCTACTGAGAGGAATAAGCTCAAGGATAGCACAGGTGATATGATATGGGGTGAACACTCCATATAGCAGCTGCTTTCTAAGAGAAAGTTCTGTCAAAAGAAAATAACCCTTCTTTAGCAGAAGGTCTTAATTAAATGCAAAAGGACTGTAGCTCAGTTTGCATACAGGAATTGAAGAAGTCTCTCCAGACAAGAAATGAAAAGAGAAAAGAGAAAGCAAGCTGGAGTGGTAGTGTGGAACTGGGGAGTTGTGGACTCAACTAGACAGAGAGAAGTTTCTGGTGATGACAAGGCTGAACTAATTTACTAACAGGCTGCATGATGTTGAACTAGAACTTCTTTCCATTTCTGTGATACAGGCACCTTCCCCTCCCCAAACATAACAATAGTATTATTCACAAAAGTACAACTAATCAGAGGGTTTTTTCCTAAAATTACAAACATAGAAAGGGGTTGAATGTCATGCTTGAGTTGATTAGAATGGTCATAAATGGAAAACATGAAATCTTTAGACAACCTATAAATCAAATTAATTCAGTAGAACTAGGAACTCAGAGCCAGGGGGTGACTTTCCCAGAACTGGCAGTGATCTTGAGGAAAACTACAAGATTCCATTGGCAGAGACTAGTGCTTGACCTTTGTCTAGGAAATTTCTTACCTGTTCTTTCTTCTGGACAGCTACCAAGCCAAGCCAGTGGAGGGTTAGCTAGGAAGGGCTGACACTGCCATTGTGTAGACTTTCTACTCTAAGCTCCAAATCAGGAAAAAAATTTAAAACTTACCTGTAAGGGTCATAGAAGTGTGGAACTCAGTTTTTAAAATGTTCAAAACTTCCTCAACACCTTCTTCACCCTGCTCTCAAGACAGAAGGGAAAGACAGAACAAAAAAAGCCTTGACCATCTGCTAAGTATAAATAAACTGAGTATATAGTCAGGAGGACTATATATACTTATATAATCAGGAGGGTGGTGGATGCCTATAAAAACAGAGCTCTGTTGGAAACAAAGGAGAGCAAAGAGAAAAAGGTAAGGGTAAGAGCTATTGAAAGCTTGCAGCATGCTTCAGAGGGAGCCTGAAGATCAGGGGAGGTGATCTCCTTTGGGCATCTCGAAAAAATGGCAAGTAGGAAGTTGAACTATGGAAAACCAAGTGAATGAAAGGCACTAGGTCTCCCCATCAGTTCTTGCTTTGTCACTCTTACCTTGCAGGCAAGACCCCACATGATCGGTCTGCCAACAAAAACGCACTTAGCTCCCAGGGCCAGAGCTTTCAACACATCATTGCCTGTTCGAACCCCACCATCCAGGTAGACTTCAATTTTCCCTTTGACAGCAGCCACCACTTCCGTCAATGCATCAATCTGAAAAGGAGAAACATGGGTGGCTACCAGGATTTCTATTTGGACTATCAGGGGTCACAGGATGGGTACCCTGTCTAAGTGGGAGAAGATTAGGAAGTGCCCATGGCCTTCACCATTCTTCCCCTTCCAAGGCCCCCCCAGGACTGCTGTTGCTCAGCAGTGACTGCAGAGCCTCCTTCCTGAGGCCCCTGTGGACTCTCCCTCTGCTATTTACTGCTTCACCTCAGGTTCAGCTTCTTGCTGACTTTTAAAACCATTTAGAGGTTGGAAGAAATGCTTTGTCCCTCTTCACATCTTAAGAGGGACATTTTCCATTTATAATGTTCACTTTAATATGAAAGAACATGTTGACTTTTGGTTTTCTTCTATTTTTTCTGTTCCTAGGGTGTATAAGTTAGAAATATTCTCCACTGCTTAGACATTACATCTTTTTAGCAAAACAGGTACCAATAGCCATGACTCAAGTGTCTGGACTGACTGAAGCCTGTTCTGGGAAAATGGGCTGCACCTTGTTTCTTAGGACACCTACATGTTTGATCAAATAGTCCCTGAGAAGTGGAATTGGGAATACAGCAGCAGCATCAAAAAAGTGAATAACCTTTTGAAGAAGCTTAATTTGTTTTGGCTTGGTTTCTTTCAGTTCCAGGCACTGAATCCAAGAGGCCTTGACTCTCCCAAGATATCCCAGGTCACACCAGGCTCCTGGCTCCTCCAAGTCTGTAAGGTGGGTGACAGTCGGCCCCTCAGGAGTCTGGGAGTTCTGAACAGCCTCAGCGTTGTTTGTAGGTGTTGCTCTGAGGGTGCCAGAGGAGGGCAGTTGAAATTTGGACCTCAGAGGCCGCCTGCTGTAGAAGGAATTCACCAGAATTCTACCTGGATGACAGCCTTTGGCTGACACTGAGCAGAATAAGATGCCAGTGAGGAAAGAGCTTTGTATTTTAATTTATAAATCTGAATGTATTTTGGACTTGTATGTAATAACTGGAGAAAACTTATGCCCAAGTATTATTTGCCCAAGTACTATTTCTATGATGTTGTGGAAAAGAAATAAATATATTTGTGCAAAGCCCTATTGGACAGTAGAGGTAATGAGACTCTCAGAACAGGGAGTGAATTTCAGTGTGGGGTGCAGGACCATTTCTGTAGGTCATTTGCTAGAATTTGAGGATAAAGCTGTCTCATGATTCTAGGAAGAAGCAAATGATAGTGTTAGGTCTGGAACTTCACAGAAGTGAGAATTCTGCTCAAAACATTTCTGATTTTAAAGGGCTGGTTCCAGTCTGACGGGAGTGAAGGAACTTAGCACTGGCACAAAAATTTAAGGGGCACCTTAACCTTTCCTCTAGGACTGCCTTTGCTATGTCCCATTGGTTCTGGTAGGTTATGTTTTCATTTTCATTGACTTCCAGGAACTTTTTAATTTCCTCTTTTATTTCATCAATGACCCATTGTTCATTAACTAATGAGTTATTCAGTTTCCATCTGTTTGCATGTTTTTTGTCTTTACTTTTGTTGTTTGAGTTTCTAGTTTTATGCATTGTGATCAGATAGAACGCATGGTATAATTTTTATTTTCTTAATATTTGCTGAGGCTTAGCTTCTGCCCTAGGATTGATCTATTTTGAGAAGGTTCATGGGCTGCTGAGAAAGAATGTATATTGTGTAGAAGTTGGATGAAATGTTTGTAGACATCAAGTAGGTTCCTTTGATCTATGGTATATTTTAGATCTAGGATTTCTTTATTGATTTTTTGTTTGGATGACCTATCTATTGATGATAATGGGGTATTAAATTCTCCCACAACCACTGTATTGGAGTTAATATATGCTTTTAGGTCTTTCAGGGATGTTTGATGAAATTGTGTGCATTGACATTGGGTGTGTATAGGTTGAATTTGTTATTTCTTTGGTCTATTTCCCCTTTTATTATATGGAATGTCCTTTATCCCGATTGATCAATGTAGGTTTGAAGTTCTACTTTTGTCAGAGGTAAGTATTGCTACTCCTGCCTGTTTTGGGGGCCATTGGCTTGGTAAAATCTTCTTTCCGCCTTTCAATCCTAGCCTATGCCTATTTCTCTCTGTGAGATGGGTCTCCTGTAAAGCAACAAATTGTTGGATCTTCCTTTTTAATCCATTTCGTCAAAGTGCCTTTTGATGGGGGAAATTAAGTCCATTAACATTATGTTGTTACTGATAGGTTATGTGGTGATTCCTGTCATTTGTTGTCTTAGTTGTTTGAAGGTTTTGATTGTGTGCACCTAAGTTTAGGTTTACTCTCTAGTTTTCTTTGCTTTTCTTTTCCTGTAGTTTGGTGCTGCCGGTGCCCTTTCATGGTTAAGTTGGGTTTCATTTCTGTGTGCAGACTTTCTGTGTGCAGAATCCCTTGAGGAATCTTTTGTAGTGGTGGCTTTGTGGTCACATATTGTTTTTAGTTTCTGCTTATCATGGAAGACTTTTTATTGCTCCATCTATTTTGAATGATAGTTTTGCTGGGTAGATTATCCTGGGCTTGAAGTTATTTTTTTCATTAGTGCCCGAAGATCTCACCCAAGCTCTTTTTGCTTTTAATGTTTCTGTTTGAGAAGTCTGCTGTGATTTTGATGGGTTTACCTTTGTATGTTATTTGTTTTTCTCTCTTACAGCCTTCAATATTCTTTTCCTACTTTCTGTACTGTTGTTTTAAATGATGATATGCATGGGGTAGTTTCTATATTTGATCTGGTCTGTTTGGTGTTTCTGGAGGCCCTTGCATGTATGGGAATAGATTTCTCTAGATTTGGGAAAATTTTTTAAATTATTTTGTTGGAATATATTACGCATTCCCTTTGCTTGCACTCTTCTCCTTCTTCAATGCCCATGATTCTCAGGTTTGGTCTTTTGATGGAGTCGGTGAGTTTGCATCTTCCTTTCACAGGTCTTGAGTTGTTTTAAAACTAATAGTTACAACTATTAGTTTTCCTTTAATTACCAATTTCATCTTTGAATTCTGAGATTCTGTCTTCTGTTTGTTCTATTCTGCTGGATTGGCCTTTCCATTTTGTGTTTGCAATTCTGTTTCATTTCTTTTTTCTGAGGTTTCCATATTCCTGAGTTTGTTTCCTTCTTTAATGTTGTCTATTTTTTGGTCCTGAGTTTCATTTATCTCTTTATTAATCGTGTTCTTGTTTTCACTTTGGTGTTTATACAGTGCTTCTATGGTTTCTTTTATTTTTTCTTGTGCTTTTTCAAATTCTCTATTTTTGTTTGTCTTGAAGTTTCTTCTGAGTGTCTCCTGTACATTTTGGTTGATGATCTCAGTATCATCTCTATAAAATTCTCTCTGATTACCTATAGTGTATTCTTCTTTTTAGATTGTTCTTGTGGGCTTCATTGGGGTTCTTTGCATAGTTTTATCTTCATTTTGTTGGAGTCTGGATCTGAGTATTCTGTTTTTCTTCATTTCCTCTGGTTTGTACTAATTTTTTGCTGTAGGGAAACTGGTTCCCTGTTTTTTCTGTCTTCCCTTCATTTGCCCTTGGTGTTGTTGTCCTGTACTGTGTGCAATTAAGTATTTTCTTGCTTGTAATCATAACAATGGGTGATATTTAGAATGGAAAGGGTGAGAGGAGAATGGCAAGCAAAGAGTTTAAAGAAAAGGGAAAACAAAATAACAAGTAGAAAAAAAACAAAAACAAACAACAAAAAGTTTCAAAAGATATAAACAGGGAGAATAGTGTACTAATCGAATAGTAAGCTGAACAGGCATTAGAGAGACAGAGGAGAGGATTGAAAATGAAAAATAGATATAAATAAAAAAATAAATAAATGAAAAAAAAAAAATAAATCTCCAAGTTCAAATGCACATAGTTTATCTTCATTTTGTTGGATCTGAGTATCTGTTTTCTTCATTCTCCTCTGGTTCCTGTACTAATTTTTTGCTGTAGGGAAACTGGTTTCCCTGTTTTTTCTTCTTCCCTTCATTGCCCTTGGTGTTGTTATTGTCCCTGTACTGTGTGCAATTAAGTATTTTCTTGCTTGTAATAATAACAATGTGATATTTAAAGGGAAGGGTGAGAGGAGGATGGAAAGCAAAGAAGTTAAAGAAAAAGGGAAAAACAAATAAACAAGTAGAAAAAAACAAAACAAACAAACAACAAAAAAGTTTCAAAGATATAAACAGGGAGAGATAGTGTACTAATCAATAGTAAGCTGAACAGGCATTAGAGAGACAGAGAGAGGATTGAAAATGAAAAATAGATAAATAAATAAAAAAATAAATAAATGAAAAAAAAATATAAATCTCCAAGTTCAAATGCAATAAAGTTTCAGTCTTAATAATTTCGTGTTCTTCCTTCAGCCTCCAATCCTGGATATGGTGTCTCAGAAGTAGTTCTGTTGTTGTCTCATCAAAGGGGAAAAAAACTAAAAAAAACAAAAAAACCCAAAACAGCACGAAACAACAAAAACCCCACAAAGTGTCCCAAGTTCAAATACAATACAGTTTCAGTAAGTTTTTCAGCATGCAGGTGTAGTTCGGTTATTGTCTCATCAAAGGAAGAGAGAAAAAAAAAAGAGTTTGGAGACAGTTCTGTGAATGGCTATCTGAGGCTGTGGCTCTCCTGCCCGCTGCTGTCAGCCTTCTGTGTCTGGAGGCTTTATTTATACAGATCTCAGGAGTGAGCTTAACACTCCCCTGGCCCCACAGGCCCCACTGGCCCCACTTGGAGTTCTCCTGGGTGCGACCACCACTGCTACAAGCTTTCCCCTTTCCAAGCTCACTGGGGGAGGTGACACTGCATCCGCTCTCTCAGGCTGGCGTGTTTATTTACAGCTCATGTGGGAAGTGGGTCTTCCCCCCTCTCCTGTGGAGTTTTCTTCCCTCTGCCACTTTTACAAGCTTTCCCGCTCCTGGTTGCTGGGCATGTGCCACTGCTCCTGCCTTCTCCAGCTGGCTTGTGAGGGATTTCCCATCCCCCCACTTCTGTGCTCAGGGCGCCCCGCCCTCTTTGCTATGTGTCTTTTTTGTTGTTATTCCTTATTATTCAGTTTTTTTCTCTTTTTTCCCTGGGTGGGGGTTGGTCTGTCCAGGGGCTATGCTGATCTGGCCCAGGGTTGTCTGTGGGAGTACCGCGTACCGCTTAGCTCACCTTGTGGTCCATGTCATCCCAAGTCTTCTGGGTGCTGGCGTCTAGCGACAGCATGGGAGCCCTCCTGGTTTCTCCATTTAATGTGAAGTGGAGATGCTATGCGCAGTCTGGAGGTGTGGAGGAGTCAAAGTTTTGCCTCTTCTGGGTGGTTTTTCCTGTAAGGTGTATATCCAGCATCTCTCCAAGAATTTACTTTAAGAGGCATGCTTTCTGCTTCCTCCCTCTAGCTGCCATCTTGGAATTCCCTCAGGGGGACTTATTTTTAAAAGCCCCATATTAATCTTGTTGCTGTTGCATGTGACCTTGGATTTGGATGTTAAGCCAAAAGGTCCTCAGTGGTATTGGAACATTGCTCTTATTCTACCTTAAGCACTTACTATGTATAGGGAACTTTGACAAGTTACTTGACATCTCTGAACTCTAGCATTCCCATGGTAAAATAGGTGTATCCTTATCTTGCAGTCCTGTTACAGACTTGGAGATGACATGCAGAAAGTTTGTAAAAATAGCCTGGCACACACTGGAATATTCTCAATGATTAACAGTCCTTAAACTCCATAGGGGATGCCTGTGGTAAGGAAGAAGTGATCATCCCTTTAAAGTCATGCTACTTACTGAAGCAGGGACCTCATCAAGCTGCCGTCCCCCATGGTTGGAAACAAAGATACCATCAACATTGTGCTTCATTGCTAGTTCTGCATCCTCTTTTGTCAGAATCCCTTTAAGGATGATGGGCAATCGAGTTATGCTCTGAATCCAGGAGATATTATCCCAGCAGAAAGATGGGTTCACAAGAGGCTGCTGGATACAAGGTTTACATTTTCTCTGTGGGGAATAAGAAGGTAAATCTTAGTCTTGAACTCCTACAAGACTGCTTGATCCATTCCAAAGATGAAAAATATTCAGACTACTATTACTTATAAGCTTGAAAAGAAGAGTAATAACTTTTTGGGAAAGTGGTGGTGCTGGGGTTTGAACTCAGGGCCTGCACTTGCTAGGCAGATGCCATACCACTTGAGTCATGCCTTTAGCCTCAAGAGGTGGTAGCTTACACCTATAATCCCAGCTACTCAAAAGGTGGAGATCAGGAAGATCAAGGTTCAAAGCTAGCTAGGCAAAACATATGCAAGTCTCCATCTCAACCAATAGCTTGGCATGGGGGAAAAGTAAATAGAAGGATCAAGGTCCAGCACTGCTTCTAGCTTCTTCTCCTAACAAAATCTGTATAAAGGAATTTCTATTTCAAATACTTATTCACCAACCATTAATCATGATCTTGCTCAATAACTATGCCGGAATCTGGGGACACAAAGACAAATAAGACAGAATCTATACTTTAAAAGAATTCAGAGTTTGGTATCTGAAATAGATAAGCAAAATGTCATTTTGACATCTTATGGTTGAGATATGCACAGGCCAATCAGACCTAAGCAATACTTCAAGAATCTAAACCAGAAGTTACTCACTGTCTACCCTTGGCTTACAATATGCATCAAATATCCTTAAATCTCATTGTGCCTCTGGAATGGATTCTAAAAGCACTTCCAGGTCAATTTGTAGTTAAGAACCATTGAGTTTCTTGGCTGGGTATCATAGCTACCCATTGACTACCATTACTATCTCTACGATAACTAAGGAATCCAACTTTATCACCTGGTGCTTCAGGGATGAGTTTTAAGGGGACAGTCATGTTGGTTCCTCAGTTTTCAAGGCAGCAGGGTAGGACCCAGTCTAGTCACACACCTTGGCTGTGAGCATCTTCTTCAAGGAGTCAGTTTGTCTACATGTGCCATTCAACATTATCACTTTCTAAACATGTCGTGAAGTAGAAAATGTTGGGTGACTTCTTTCATTTACTCTCCTATTTCTGAAAAACCTTTTCAGGGCTTTCTTACTTCTCAGCGTCTAGCCCTGGCATGAATATTTCTGGTGACAGGTTGTGCAGCTCCAGGGGTGGGAACATTTGGTCTTATGTTCTGCTTGCCTAGAAGCTCTGGGGACTAGGAACCAGATCTGCTCTTTGAACTGCTGTACTCCCAGTGTCTGGCAAGCACTCAGTAAATACTTGTGGAAAGGAGGAAGGGAGAAAAGAGGAAAGAAGGAAGGAAATTTGCCTTCACTAATGCCTGCCACTTGAGTATGGTATCTTTCCTACCTCTTCAGGTGATCGAAGATCCTTTAGCATTAAGTTTGCCAGCAAATTCAGTTTGTTTCTAATGTCCTGGCGCCTTTTGCCAATTGTGGGTACATCCACTGTGATCACCAAAGCTTTGAAACCCAGGGATTCTGCTCTCTGGATCAGCTGTTTGTTCAGCTGCCAGTCTGAAAGCACATAGAGCTGGAACCAACGGAGGCCTCTGGGGGCAACAGCAACAATGTCTTCAAGGGTACAGCTGGAATATGTGCTGGTGATATAGCAGATGCCTGCTGCTTGGGCACCTGCAAAACAAAAGCCATGACTCAGATTGAAGGGCAGAGGTGATCTGGATTGAGGTGAGCAACTGCCTAGGAGCCTGGGTTGCTTTCTCTGTGAGTGAAGATAAAGCTTGACTGCATTCTGCTTCCCTGTAGGGCAGGGATGGGGAATGGTTTGATCAGGCTCAGAGGCCAAAATCTATTCAGGTCATCTTCTATACATCCTGCCTTACAAGTCTTGTATCCCATAATAAAATGTTTCCATCCAGAGCTTTCCTTGGTTCCTAGAACCATGTTGGATGTATTACAGTCTTCAGAAAAGAAGGCAAACTTGTGAATAAAACAAAAGAGAATCAGAGGATGGGAAATGTAATTCCAGTGGAAAACCCTGAATTTTGTAGTGGAAGAAGCATTATATCTGAAATTAGAAGAATGCTAATTCTTTGCTGTGTGGCCTCGAGTCTCATTTTCTTTACTTGTGAAATGATTTACTTGTTGAGTGATTAAAGATACTACATGGAAGTATTCTTTTAACTTGCAAGGTGATGTACTGTACAAATGCTAGGAGGTTGATGATGATGGTGGCGATGAAGTCGACATTGATACTGCTGCTGAACTGCATCATTTTTGTTGACATTTTGGTGACATTAGCCTTCTCCAGTAGGCTAATGTCATTACAATGCTACAACCAATGGCAGAAAATTTGCCTTAATTCAAAATTAACATTGCCAATGCTTCACGCCAATGGGAAACACTGTTCTTTTGTCCCACCCCAAACCAATATATTTGACTATGAAGAGTTAGTGAGCTCATCATACTGATACAGAATATTCATATTTCAAGTCAGATCTGGTTATGTCTTGTTCAGCTCCAGAATCCTCAGATTCATTGCCTCCTGCATCATGGAATCAACTGAGAAGACCCCAGAGAAGCCTGAGGCAACTAAAAAAAAGTAGATTTGGCCTAGAGTGAAGATTATAGAGTCCCAAAAATATTTTTAGCCCCACCTCTTCTCATTATTATTGGTAGTAGTAGTAATAGTAGAAACAGCAACATTGGTGTCTCCCATTGAGAGATAATGGGAGTTACTAGGAAAGAGACATAACCCCGAAAGAAACTTTTTGTTAAACAAAATGAAAGGTCAATCAAGGAGAAGGGAAATGGAATATTTGAACAAAACCAACTGCCAATGCCTTGATATCATGATTTTGTCCTCATTCCAAATTCAGAGATTCACAGTTCAGCCCCATTCCTGGTACTGAAGGAGCCAAAGAGAGCCATACTATTAGGGCCATCCTTGGGGCCTATTGTTTGGCCATCCTTCCCCCCTCAGTGAGTGAGATTCAGCAGGGTCAATATCCTTTTTTCTGAGGATCTACTTGGGATTTCAACACCCTGCTATTCATCAGTAACCTTTCACCATAATGATCTATTATGGATAATGGGTGTTTTCGAAATCTTACACAAATATGGCTTTAAGCACTCCCTTTCCCATCTTCTTTAATCCCAACCAGATTCCTGCCTGTAAGGCTCTTCAATGAGAAGTCTTGGAGCTCCCTGCCACTGCTCTGAGAGAGGTCCCCTGCATACTTCTGGCCCTCTGGGAAGGGAGCCTCAAAAGGAGGTTGGATCAAACCTCTTGCTGTACTAATTTCTCCATCAGGCCAGGCGATACAATGGAAAGCTGTGGGTGAGATGCAGATGGGGGCACTGATCTCCTCTCCCTGGATTGTGGTCCTGGTGTCCACATCTGACACATCTCTTAAGAACCGGGGACGGAGGCGGATTCTGTGCTAGACAAAGAGAAGTTCTGTTAGTGTGTTTTCTCTCGCGATGCTGTCTGGAACTGTGGTCCCCTGATTCCTGGTACAGAAATCCTATGAACCCTTGGTGGGTTCTGTCGGCTCATTCTGAGTAAGCAGTGTAGGGCATGCAGGAAGCTCACTTCCAGGCCGCTGCTCTGCACATCCCCTTCCACATTAACTCAGCCCTCTCTGAACTACTAATGCTCCATGGGCCACACTAGTCCCTGCCTTGCTCTGTCAGGAGTCAGTGTCTGAGTCCTGCTTCCCTGACTTGCAGTGCTTGGATGGGTTGATTAGTTCATCATGAGAAGGACTAGAAAGGAAAAAAAGAGACAGGAAGAATTCCAGGCTCATTCCCTCCCAGTTGGAAACAAGTCCCTAGGAGGTAACTAGAGGCCATTCGAAGGGGACAAATCCCAGGAAATGATCACGGATTTTTTGCAGGAAGATAATTTATTTGACTATTTGACTTAAATGTTGTTGTAGAGAAGGCAGAATTCACAAACAATAAGTGTGCAAAACACAATTTTAAGACAAATGAAAAGTGAGTCTTAGAGTCCAAATGTTTATTGTTTGTAAAATGTCATCTCTGTACACAATGGAGAAAGATTTTCTGTGAATACTAATTATGCAAACTTACTGAGTAAGTTAGCTTCATTTATTTCATGAAATAGCAGTAATAATCCAAATTTTCTAAGTATTTTAAGGATAAACTGAGATAAAGCATTTAAAGTGAACAGTGTTGTGCTGTGTATGAAAATACACAGTAGAATGTTTACTTTGTGTCCTATTTTTAAAATTTTCTTCTGACTGCTACATCACAGGGTCAGTAAACATATATAGAGGGCCAGGTTTTGTGGGCCACAGTCTTTGTCACAATTATTAAGCTCTGCTAATGTGGCATAAAAGCAACCATATACAATAGTAAATGAACGAGCATGGCTGTGTTGCAATAAAACTTTATGGATATTGACATTTGAAGTTCATGTATAGTCATGGGCCATGTAATGATGATTGAGTCAACAACAGAGCACATACACTAAGGTGGTCCCATGACATATCACCTAGTGATGCTACAAGCCATCTTAGTAAGTATTCTCTATTTATATGATGAGATTTTCTAGCAATGCAATTCTCAGAACATATTCCTGTCACTAAGTGACATGTGACTATAATTTTTACATTTCCTTCTTTTAACTCTGTCCCCATCCTTAGCTGTGGCCCATAAAACTAGGTGGTTGGTCAGATTTGACCCGTAACTATTGTTGGCTGATCTATGTTCTATCTTTTATTTTCCAAGTACAACTCTTCTTTTTTGAATCAATTTTATAATCCCTATGACTCCCTGAATTTTCATAATTTTTCCAAGTCTAAGTCTTCTCTCTTGTCTTACATTTTCTCTTCCCAGACAGAAGTTTAGAACTCAGGAGATCTGGGCCTATGCAGTGGGCTTCTTTTCCTTGCCCTGTGGCTGGTCTTCGTGGGGCTATTTTTTTGGATTACAAAGTTGCTGGGATGCAGAGAAAGGATTATTTATCCTAACTCTAAGATAAATTCTCTCTGGGACCATTTTTCCGCCAGCTCCTTTCTACTCTCCCCCACAAACAAGCCAACAACAGCAACAAAAAACCCACATTGTTGAATCTGCAGTATTTTATGTTCTTTGGAAGAAGAAGCCAGGAGTACCACCACCTAAGCAACTCTCAACCAGTACATCTTAGCTTAACACTAGAAAGGATACAGAAGACCAAACTTTTTAAATGCTGCAATGTTGTCATCTCGTGTGATGCCTTCATCGGCTCCTCCTTCAATAAAATCCCAAGATGACTTCGACAGTCGCTCTCGTGCATGTGCTTGAAAGTCTGTCAAACATACCAAGGACATTTCTGGACCTTAATAAAAAAGTAACAAAACCCAGTAAGAACTCTTCAGATGTAGAGTGAGGGTAAAGGGGGAGCCATTTTATTAAAAGTTATTTGGATGCAACATTGATGCCCTGTATTCCTTAACTTAAATGGTGCTACTGTCTAAGATATTGATACCTAAGCCAGTAGTCCTCCATTCTCCCACCTTTATTCTGAAGTCCTGATTATTTGGTCTTTTAAGTGTTCTTATGTCCATCCCCTCTATTCTACACACTCTGTCCCAGATCTAGTTATGTCTCTCTACCTCTTAAGAGATTATTACAAAAAAAGTATTTTTGTTTTTTGCCTTCAGCTCCACTTTCAATCTCAACTCTCTAGACACATTTGCCTAAGATCTTCCTAAAATGCAAGTCAGTTCATGCCTTTAATGTGACCATATTATGGCACTCACAGTTTAATAAGACTTGCTTTCTAAATGCCTCACCAGCTTTATTTCTTGGTGGGTTTTCCTTGAACCTCTCATTCAAGTCAAAATATGTAAAACTGGGACTGAACTGATAATTAATGGGAGTTCCCAGGCACATCCAGATGTCTGAATTACCTGAAGCTATCGATGACATGACAGGTGTGTGGTTTTTGATTTTTTGCCACTTCTTGACTGCATCATTGACAATATTGCTTAGTATTATTAAGAGGCCAAAACATCATCACTTGTCTCTTTGCTTTTTGCTAATTTTGAGATCGAGAAACAGAATATGTTGCTCCCATTTATTCTCATTCACAATCTGAACTCAGTAAACCTAGAGGTTAATACTTCTGATACAATGACCCCAGAAAGAAGAATGAGGGCAGAGTTTGGCATTGCCAATAAATTTTCCAAACAGGACCAAGGGGACTGAGATCAGTAGCTGTAAGGATGCTGTAGACATTTGTTGTAGTCCCAACATAGAGGGCTCTTGCACCAGAAGATTCCAGAAGGCAAAGCCAAAAAACTGCAAGTTTAAAGCTTTAGCTTATTCTGGAGCAGTAGGCAGCAGTATGAAAATTAGTCAATGGCTGAGAGCAAGGACAAGTCCAAAAAAACTTGCTCTTCAATCAGGAATGGCTTAGCTCCCACAAAGAGCAAAGGGGCCAAAGGGCTAGATAAAATATTATGTAGTGGATATCTTAGCTGGGCTAGAGATGGGACCAAACTGGCCAGGGGCATCCAGAATCTGGGAAGTCAAAACAGAGTAGCCAATAATATATACAAAGTTGATAAACAGAGTAATATGATAGAAAACAGAGCCCTTGGGATGTGTAGATTCTGGATGGAGGCAGGGAGGAGGAATTTGGACCACAGCAACAGAGCTTCTTCTCACAGATAACCTAGTCAGGAAAGGCAGGAAGCTATTAAGGGGCTTAGCTCAGCAACTGTATCTAATTTAATTCATTCTTCCCCAACATTTTGAAAAGTCACCAAGAGTTAGTTCAATGAATTAATTATTTCATCTGTCCAATTATCTTGTAATTTCTTACTTATAATTCTATGTGCTTAAAAGAGTTAATATAGAAGGTCTGAAACTGTTATTTGTTGAAAAACCTGCTTGCAAGGGTAGACCTTGGCCCTGTCTTAGAATGTAGATTTCAGCAGGGTTCCTATCGTGCTCTGATAAGAATGGCTCATTGAAGTAGAACTGTGTGCACAAACAACGTGATTTAAGCTGAACATCTGCTGTCTTTCTGGGAATCTAGGGTTTTGCTACAGAGCTGACCCCACGACTATCTCCCAACATAAAACTTAGCCTTCAGTCACTTGAGCTTTTCTGATAGATGACTTTGTGTATACTAGGAGACTTGAGTGCATCCTATATGACTCCACTGGGAGAGGACTTCTGGAAGCTTATACCCAATTTCCTCCAGATTCTGCCCATACACTTTATACCTTAGGGTTTAGGAAAGTATGGGACCCTGAGCTGCTGTTCCTAAGTGTGACTTGCTTGCCATCTCTCCCAAATGCCATCTCTCTGCCTTCCTGGATGAGAGTTCTCCATCAGCTGCCAACTCCTGATATTCTATATATTATGCATTCACAGAAATGTTCTGTGTATTTCTAGGTTGGAAATTACACAAAGCTAGTGTCTAATCTGAAAACTAGGGCTCAGACCCACTCAGAATAGCTACCTGGAATAATGTGAATTATACATAATTTGGGAGCTTCTTAGAAATAAAGCGTAACTCCAAGATCTGCAAATACAACAAACACTATTTTATCTCATTTTTATAGCTTTTATCTAATACTTCCTCTCAATTTCTTTGTGGAATAGACAGAAACATTAGAGATAATAGAGTATTAATCTCACCATTTTACCTTTGAAGAGAATGAGGCTGAGGAAATGAATGACATGAAATATTAGTAAGTTATTACAGGGGATAGTTCTGGAACCATGTCTCCTGGTAGCCTCTAGTAATAGCTGTTCTTTAATTTTATAGTGAAGACCAAATAGATGGCGCATATAAATCACATGCTACATTAAATTTAAGAGAAATTTGTAGGCTTAAAAACACAGTTGTGCACTTTTTTCTTTTTACAACATATATAAAAATTAGTGGAATGCTTAGGCTTATCGTCAAAAAGAAAAACTTTGTCGTTCAAAGCTTTTCATGAATTGTAAAGGGAAGAATTATGCTTTTGTATATTTCAGTCTGATCCATACCAGACTTAAAGCCACCAGAAATTAATGGGAAGATTCAGGTTATCTATGGCTTTCTTATTTTCCCATTTAATTTCATATCCTTTCTATATTTGTTTCTTCTGTTCTTTACTGCTTCAATTATCCAGGCGGAAGACATGGGGAAAAATAATGAAAGTTTTTCGCACACTGACTGAGCCTTAGATATCATTCCAGGAATTTTCACTCATTTAACCTCTTTAGGCCTTTTGTTTTAAGGTCAATGAAAAGGGGTCAGGTACAATGAACACATCATTGCGAAGAAAGGGAAAAATCTAAGGGCAGTGACATTCAGTGGGACACCTTGCTAACATCTGAAGTTCAAAGTCTTTTCCCTGGCTGAGGACGCAGACAGAGCAGACAGGTATTTTGAGGGAGGCCCTGTTTTCCATGTTGTAATCTGACCAGAGGCACTTAGGCTGAACAAGATGTTTTCTTCGGAGATTTTGTAAGACATTCTGTGGGAAGTACAAGGATGAAAATCCCAAGGTAGGCTGTGAAGACACAAAGGATGTAGTTGGGGGGATGGGGACAAGATGTCCTTCAAGACCTTCTGGCCTGGCTGGTAAAAATGTAAGCCACTTTTGTCGGCGAGTGGCTGAGATAACTCCAAGGGCTGCACTCTGGGGGCCCAGTTTGAGAGATTAAATGTTCAAGGTTGGCTGAAAAATGCCTGAATTATCATACGTGTGACAACTCTGTCTCAGTCTCAAGGTTAGTGGCTGCAAAGGGTAGAGCTGTCACCATAGCAACAGCAGAGTTATCAAGAAGAGCTTGCAGCAGGAGTAAGCCCTGGTAATGGCTTGAATGATGATAGAGCAAGAAGGGGCCCAGAGCTCCAGGGGGCCACGTGAGTCATCCTGCAAACAGCAGTCAATCACAGTGGGAAAAGCTCCTGGGACTGAGGCAGATGAGCCCCCAAGGAGACCCCAACATTGGGAGGTAAGGGAAGGGGGATGGACTTGAATAGCAGCCAATCCTCAGACTAAAAATGGGACCAGGTGTTCTGACATTGGGATGGCCTGACAAACCAAAGATTACCATGTTTGGAAGTGAGGGAACGAGTTTCCCTGTGTGGGTTTGACAGATGTTGCAAGAATTGATTTTGGTTTCCATCAGCCCAGGATCAGTTCTGGCCCCTTCCCTGAGTCCTTTGTGAGTCAAGGACTCCAGACTCCTTCCAGGTTCTGATGACCATTCTTTTATTTTATTCTGCTTTGTATTATAACAATTAGTCCTCTTCAGCCCACCTCCAACCCCTCTCATGTTTTCCTTGTCATTAATGCAGCTTCCTCTCTTGACCTATGAGTGCTTTTTACCATGACGAATGTGATGTTTGTGTTCTTCAGAACTGCCTCTTCAGTGGTGACAGGGAAATAAATGGCTCAGGCCTTTATTCTACTCTGTATATCATCAGTCTGGGATATACTCATCCTGGAGCTCCTGTGACCCAAGGAGGCCGTCAACTACCCACTGTGATACCTTCTTAGGTCGCAATGATCACAGGTCCTGTCTGTCAGGATTGGAAGACAATTTAGAATAGTGTGCTTAGTGGAGCTGAGAGGGACCTTAGAGAGACAGAGAGGTATGCCTAAGTTTGCTAGCTGAATTAAAATATGAAGCCAGGCCTCTGGCCTCCATACTTAGTGCTCTTTCTGAACAGTTACTATGGGTAGCCTAGCAACATAATCAGAATTAGGTCCTCTTTACTTGAGAATTAGCTTCTCAACATAGATCTAAGATTTCTAGAGTCTTGCCTTGTCTAACTTGGATTTCATTGTTCTAACTCCTTCTCTATCTCTTCTGACTCTGCTTAGCCTCTATCAGCAAAGGGGGCTGTATTTGATATAGGATCAGTTAATTCACTGTGTTTCACTGGTACACTAGTGTTTGTGGCAGCTGAGGCCGTCTGCTTCATGGGAGAAGGTGCCTGACACTACTTACATGAGCAAAGGCAAGCTGCTTTTCTCTAAACCTCAGTTTCCTCATTTGAAAAACCATAGGTTTTTGTATATTTCAGTTTAATCCACAGTGGGTTTAAAACCACCAGAAATTAAAGCTTGGGTTAGGTCCTTCAGGTGCTCTCCTTTTGTTTGTCCCATAAATACAAAAACCTCTGGTTCAACGAGATCATATTAACATTTGAGTTTAGCATCAACTTTGTGGCAGTAAAGTTCAAAACAGAGAACCAGCACATTGTTTAGGCTTATTTGCTAACAAAGAAGAGCTTGGTACTCAGCCTGTCTGGGATCGTCCTCCCCACCCTGGAAACCTTTCCCTTTTCAAGCTGTTCTGGCTCTGTGGTTCC